AGAGGCAGAGCTTAGGTGGTCTACACAGCTTTAATTTTTTTCCCTTCCCATTCTTTGTACTAAGCAAGGACATTTTGCAATCATGGTGCAGAGATTGTATTTTTAGCTGGATATTCTGTATACATTATATATGCCCCAGACATAGAAAATACAACTAGTAATAGTTTCTGTATTTTTTTAAAAACAGAAGGTCCAGACAAAATTGGGATCCAAGAAAGGAAATAAATATACTGTCAAATCTGTACTTTAACCAAACCCATTAAGCAAGGAAAAAAAATCACTTCATGCTATTATGCACCATTATATTAGGAGGTAGAAATCCTAAGTAATGACCAAAAATGTGTAAAGGATCTTACTAATCAAATTCTAATATACTATAAGGTGATATAAACCATCTATAAACCCTTATAATGTGTAAAAGGAGACATTGCACAAGAGGACACATTGTATTGCAAAGGATTTAGCAAAATGTCTTCCCTGGTATTGCGAGGAAAAAGTCAGCAAGTAAAAAACAGAAGAAGTTAGTTGTGTTGGCTGCTTTTAGTCACTGATAGATTCTTGTGTGTTGCAGTATTTCCTTAATAGAGTTTTGGATAGTGCCAGTAATTCTGCTTGCTGCTATCTGTTCTCAGCACATATAAAGGTCCTCCACCAAAAAAGTAACTTTGGACTTGGTGCTCTGTTTCTCTGCACCTAGAGCAATCATTTCTAACAGTGCAAAGTAAAGTATAAAATGCTCCCAAAATGCAGTGGTATGTGAGTGCAAGGTGCAGAGGTCAACTGAGAAGCAGACTTTTTTGTTTTGATTAGATGAAAATGGAGGTGTCAGCTCACCTTTCTACAAAAGTCCTGTTGAAAATTGATCCTGCAAACTGCAGAGTTGGATTTAGATTGTGGGAAAATCCATTGAATGCTGTAGAACACGCAGAATCATCTCTCAGTGCCTCTGAGCAGACAATATTATGGCAAAAAGAATTGGTACAAATTTGAGCCAGGGCTTTTTGCCTCAGTGCACATGCCCAGACATACACTTTGGTGTGGGGCAAATTGTGCCACTTGGGGCAAAATAACCCTGCCTGACTTCTCCCAGCCAGGGGGAACTAGAGGCTAGGGCCAGCACCTGTGCTGGCCCCAGTACTATAAAAAGCTGCCCTGGCAAGTAGCTCAGGGCTGCTCACTCTCAGGAGCTTCTGGGGTCATTAGCCCCACATGAGGTTACTAGTTAGCCAGATGGGCCTTAGGGCCCACAGTATGAGTGTTACAAATAGACAGGAGCTTCTGGGGCCTGGCCAATTGGTATCTGGGGACACCACCCCTTGTGCCAGCTGGACTGTTGAAGCAGCCCGGAGAGTTCCCTGCACCCTCTACCCACATGCAGCAGCCTGGCAGTGGGGGCTGCAGCCTGTCTGTCACCTGAGACAGCATGTGGACCCAAGGCTGCATGCCTGCCAGAGCTGGATGGGGACTGTATGGCCATTAGAGGCATCTGCACCTCTGGGCCATCTGTCAGTGGGCTCTGGCTACACAGTTGGCCTTTGTGCAGCACTGCTGCCATTTGTGCCACAGCCCAGCCATCTGGGCAGCTATCGCCCAGAAGATGTTCTCAGTGTGGTGCCAGCTCTGAATAGGCTTATCTACCTGGGTCCTGCCACGTGACTCACTAGTAGGAATTCTGGTGGTCCCTACTTACAAACTGCAAAATCCCTGTTAAACAAAACAATCCAAAGTCACTCTTTAAAATACCCCCAAATCCATGTTCTTCCACAAGTAAAACAAAACACCAATAATATATATAATTTTTTTTTTGAGAGAGAGAGAAAGAGATCAAATCAATTTGGCAATGTTTTATTGATATATTTACAATTTTGAAGGAATTTCATAGACATTAGGGGCTGGAAGGGACCTTGTGAGATCAAGTCCAGTCCCCCTGCCAGATGCAGGAAGTCTGATGATCCCAGCAAGATAAACATCCAAATGCCTTTTGAATGAGTCCAGAGTAGGTGCCTGCACCACCTCTGGGGGGTCTGTTCCAGACCTTGGACACTCAGACTGTAAAGAAGTTTTTCCTTATATTGAGTCTGAATTGGCCTTCTAGAAGTTTGTGGCTGTTAGACCTAGTTATCCCTTGGAGCTTACAAGTGCCTCCATCATCATAATAAAATAAATCCTAAATATCTAGATGTTTTGATGTTTGTTTTTGGTTTCCTTATCACATGGTGGGTGTGTGATACAGTGATGTTGGGTTTGCAGGAGAGAGGGGAGTGGGGGGATGTGGGGGGATGTGGGGGAATGGGGATCAGTGTGTGGGTAGGTGTGGGGGGACTGTGGATGTGGGGGGACTGTGTAGGGTGGCTTCTTAGAAGAGGTGGGTCTCCTGGACATGGACTGCCCTCCTTCAGGGTCCCAGCCCTGCCACCAGGGGCTACAGCACTCCCCCTAGAACCCCCCTGCTGCCCCCCCCATCTCCAGCCACCTGCTCGTTGAGGCTGGAGAGGAGCAGGAGAACAACCAGGAGGCTGGAGATAAGCTGAAGATGTTCCTCTGTTTGTCTCCAACCTCCAGCTCATCTCCAACCTCCTGAGGGTGGAAATGAGCAGAAGACCAAGCAGAGGGCTGGAGATGAGCAGGGGAATGAGCAGGAGGCTGGAGATGAGCAGGGGAATATAGCCAGGTGCTCATCTTGATCCCCCTTCTCCAGGGGCTTGTCTCCAGCCCCCTTCCCCCAGCCATCACTACGCTACCTGGCCCCAGCCTCCTGACACTCAAAACAGAAAAAAAAAGAAGCCCTGCACTCACCAGCTGTAACAGCAGCTGTTGGGGCCACTGAGAAGTCATGGCAGAGCCCCCTCATGCTGTGCGGGGTGGGGGGGCCGTGGGGACTGGCCCCTGTTGCCTGGCACCTGCGCTTCCACTGTCCCATCACGCAGGTGCAGCGTGGTTTAGCAGAGCACTACACAGTGTCTCGAAGCTGGGGTGGCTCCAGCTGCCACCCAGAGCCTGGTGCCACTCAGCCCAAGTGGCTCCAGGTCCCAGACAGTGTGGGGAGCTATTCTGCACCTGTACCATTTATTTTTTTTGAGTGACGGGAGGATGGGTCCAGGCAGGGCAGCCAGTGGGGAGTTGGGAGCAGGTGGGGAGCGATCGTGGGGCTGTGGGAGTGAGAAAGGGATGAGGATGGGTGGGGGAGTGATTGGGGGAGTGAACATGAGCTGGGGCAAGGCAGGGATCCCCGCATGGCTCCCTCCCCCCTTCTCCAGCCCCCTCCACTCCCTACTTACCTGGCACAGAACCCAGGTCACAGTCACTGCAGCCTGCACTGCTACTTGGCCTGCACAGGCAGGCAGCGTGTTTCAGTACTGGGGTAGGGGCCAGCCATTGAGACACTCTGGCTGGCTACTAGTGTCTTTGTGGAGGACCCGAGCCTCCAGTTGCCTCAGGACCCTGCCTTGCCCCGCTGTTTTGCAGTGCATTTTTTTTGACCCCTGCATATCCAGGGCCTAATTTTTCCCCCACACTGCAAATGTGTGCAAATGTGCAGTGTGGGGAACGTTTTTTTGTTCCCACATGTGCCTCTTTCAGCATCTCAAAGGGGTTTGAGACACTGCAAGAGGCACATGTGCTCTCCTCTGGATGCGCCCATAAATGGGAAGAAAGAAGTATTTTTAATGGCAAACGTAGTTTAGATGACCAAATTGCCGCAGCATACTATTGTTTATATAGCAAATATAGTGCATAACTTTATATTTTAATATTATTATTGTTGTTATTGTTGTTATTGTTATTATTATGATTAAGCCTTCTGCAAAAGCAACTGGGAATTTTCCAGTGATCCTTATGGGCACTGGAAAATATCCTGTTCATCTGCCAAAAAGGGATTAGTGTGTAGATCTCATTAGGAATTTGCACATGACTTTATTATAATATAGATAAAAGGAAGCAAATTCCTTAGAATCAAAAGAAAGTCAAAGAAAATAATATCTAAGAATCCAAGTAGGTAGAAAGTAGAAAACAATTTTTAGAGTTTGAAATGACAGTGGTTGACTACTTTGGGTACGTGACAAGAAAATTTTTCTCCACTGCATCAAGGTGTATGTTCAACATGCAAGAAACAAAAGACCTGGGAATATTGTAAATAGCATTTGTAGTAAAGGATGAGGAAGTTTTGAAACAATTAGTGTAAGTTGAACGCAGTATTCAAATAAAAAGTGTAATTCTGTTAAAATCATTCCAATTTCATTAAAAGTATCTGGGAATTATTGTGTTTACTTAATTATTCTGTAGAACTCAAAAGTAAGAGAGAAGGAAATAAAGATATATTTTTCACTGGGAAGATATTTTATAGGCATCCTTTAATTGGCAATAGCTTATTTATACTTCAGAAGCCCCTGCGTTATAAATAACAAAGGCATTGCATGAATTTAAAAAAAGAAAAAGAAAAAAAGAAAACACACAGCACAGTTAAGCAAACAGCAAGCAGAACCAGAACATTCAGAACCCTTTACCTGTTATTTCCCTGTGTCTTAACCATTAATGTTATGACAGACCTAACCCATGAAATCAGTGCCAGTATAAAGAATGCATAAATAGTTTATTGGCCATGAGAACAACACTTTATGAAGCAGTCAGCTTCAGAGTAAGCCTGTTACCAACTAAATCTATAACACATATTTAAAAAAATATTATTACTATGTTGAGAGCCACCCTTACCACAAGACTATGTATTTTTCCATCTTAAAGAGTGTTTGGAATATATTGTGAGCACATATCAAAGATTAAACCAATCAATGACCTGGAACATTTGTTTTATTTTAAATTTAGTTTTGCTTGAACTATTTTGATATGTGATTTTAAGAATATGATTAGGTGTCACTTTTTAAATCTGACTTGTGAGGTATTTGTATCTGGTAATAAATCATTTATCTATATCATATTCACAAGTTGACTTTGTCACCAGTTATTGTAGCCATTATAATTAACAGAGATATGCATACGATTCTTAGACATATGAAGGATCAAAACAAGAAAGTGGCCAACCTGAAGCACAATCAACAACTGGAAAAGAAGAAGAATGCGCAGTTGCTGGAAGAAGTCCGTAGGCGAGAGGACAATATGACAGACAACTCTCAGCATTTGCAGGTGAGTTGATTTATTGATTATAATTTAAAATGATCAGGGAGCATATTTTTTTGTCTATAGTTTTCAAAATACATGAACGGCTTGATCCTACAAAGAGTTTTGACCCCTTTTTTCTCGTGCCAGAAGATGAACCCATAGCTTTGATTATATCCAACTAATGACTAAATAATTTTGAGGAAGGTTGAGTGGAATATATTCCACAGTGGGATTTCAGTTTACTTTGGTTTAAAGGGAAAAGTCTGTTTTGGCTTTATTTTCTGACTTATGTCAAAATAATAGACTATAACTTCTGTATTCTATTTGTGTGTGCAAGATGGAGAATTTAGCATTGCTTTGTGGCCCTGTGTTGGCTAAATAGTTGTTAAATATATTAGATTTAACTACAAGATAATTGAGAAGCTCTTGTACTGAAATGGAAGGACCAATAAAAAGGTCATTTCAAAACTTTTCCAGAGTATTTTGGTCTATTGGAACGTTCATGTTTCTTTTATTTCATTGTATTATGTATAATTACAGTGTCCATCAATTAATAGCAAAGTGATAACCTGGCTGAATTTAAGAAATAAATTGTGCCTTTGTGTTGTAACCCTTCTCTATCACTCGCATGCACTCAAGTATTTGCCTATGAAGGACTAAGTATGAAAATGTTAATAAAGAATAATTCAATTTGTTTATTCTTTTGATAAAATATGCATTTTTAAACAATAAGATTATTATTAGATTAACCGAGACAGAAATAAATCATCAGCTATAATGTATTAATTTTTTAATATTAAAACAAAATCGCCTAAAAAAGGGCTGTATACATGATAGTTATTGGGAATGTCTACATGAGATGCTATGTCACCATAGCAATGCACTACAGTGACGTCATGCCAATGGGCACAAACGTGATGCTGTTGCTCCCTTGCTATAGTGCATTGCTACGGTGACATAGAGGCTAAAAATAACCATGTGCCATTAGCATGGGGCCCTACAGGCTGTTACTGAACCATTATTTAGTATTTCCAAAAGAAAGTACTAAATGATGGTACAGTAATAATGGCGCTGTAGGGGCACGTGTAAATGTGTCCATTGTTATTAAGGGTTTAAAAGGTGGAGTATTTTTATTTTGCATTTGTTTATAAACTTGGGAGGTTTTTTTTCTGTAATAACAATATATACAGTAAAAGTATTCATGGCATATAATAGGTAAATAAGGAATAACTCTGATATAAATAGTCAGAGAAACTGGACAACAATTTTCTAAATGTCAGTTGCTTTGTCTTTCTCTAACATGGAGGTCTTAGTTATATACAGACCAAAGAGAAATGAAAAGTTTAGACAAAACTCTAAAAGACTATCTTTCATTGGCTTGCTTTCTGGGGAGATCGTTGAAGTCACATTAACCCCCAGATGGGCTGACCTTTGGTTTCTTTATTAACCAGTGAATTAACTTGTGATTTCACTGGAAGTTGTAGGTTCTCAACACCTCAAATGAAATGCTAAGTAATTTTTTAAGATGTAACCTAATATAAAGACAGTGATACTAAACCTCTACTTATAAACTTGAGCAGCAACACTGCAGAGTACCTTGGTTCATATGGGAGATTAATGCATCAGTGTATAGTTAGGTTCTGAATAGCCAAAATACACTCCTGTGAGGTCCTGGTTGCAAGGGGCTTCCTTGCCCTTCTCATCAGCTGCAGTCCTTGCTTTTAGAGAGTGAGTGCACTCCCTTTCTTATTCAGGGACCTGGCCCTGCTTACACCTGTCCAGTAAATTGAGTTGGTTGCAAAGGCCTTTGTGTTTTACAAAACCCCACAGAGTGTAGAGGTAGGCCCACAACCTCTCTCTCCCAGTGTTTGGGACAGAGGACAGTGGATTGTTTCCTGTGAAATGAGACAGCTCCTTACTAACACACAATTTAACCCATGAGCAAGACAACCAGTCAATCCCACTGTCCTATCTTGTTTCTCTGAATTCCAGAGGCTGTTTTGAATTATTTCACTTGTACTCATCACATGGATGACTGGTAACCTCTGTTCTCATTCTATGCTCTGACTTCTTTTCCGCTGTTCCTGGTTGTTGCCAGTTGTGCTTGTGCTAGATATGATGTGCTATTGCTTTTGGTAAATAAGGGTGGCTCTTATTTCATAGATTAGGAGGGAAACTAGCCAGCATAATTCATTGTATTTGAAGTGGTAAATTTGACAGAGAAGTATTCAGGCAAATGAAAAGTGCCTCTTTGAGTTTGCCACCAAATCAGCCATGCTTATTCCTCTGAATGGTGTGGCATGGGTGAGGGGTTGTGACTGCGTTGCAGCAGTTGGCTTAGCAGCTCTGTGGCCAAAGGTTTTGAAGAAGATAAGTAGTGGGGATAAGTTGGGGCAGGAGGGAAAGTTCAATAGTGGTGGTGCCGGTCAAAGAGGCAACATGGTAGGGACACAGAAAGTTAGTTTGATTCAGCTTCCGCTGGCACACCTCCTGTGAAACCCCAGAAAGAGTCTGAGCTGCTTATTTTGCTGACTTACCTGAAAGGAAGAAAGTTGGAAATCCATTCCTTCTAATTCACTCCACCAGGTGAATCCTCCCTAGTTCACTTTGACCAGGTTGCTCCTACCTACTATAAGGCTGGTTTCATTCTTTTGTACTGAATTCATAAAATTAAAGCAGATCAGATAGTGAAACTATTTGGTTCTTTCCAGTTCCCTTTGGGTGGTCAGGGGATTAGCTACATAGAAAGTAAACTACAAATTAATTCATTTGGGGAAAAAGCACCCTAATATTTCTACAACTGGGTGAAATATCTTCTTGTCTAACCGGTTGGACAAAACTGCTGCTAATATGAATTTATTTTGGTATTGGAATAATGTTTATACCCCCAAGTACCCCACTACTGATGTTTAGCTGTAACTGCACCTACAAGTTAGTTGTAATGTTGTTAAGCAAGAGCATATTGTTATGATCTAGTATCTGATATCTGTAGTCAGGTGGTAAAAATGAAACCAATTAATAACTTTGGATGTCAAAGGACACTTCCTGCATGAAAGCCGTTTGAAAAAAAACAACAACTCCAGAGCCATCAAAGTGGCTGGGTTAAAGGGCAAGCATTCAAAGGTAGGTAAGTGAAGAATAAAGAACTCAGAGGCATCCGTTGTGTCACATGCAAAAGGATTCTTTGAACTCTGAAATGAAAATGGTTACTTTTATTTAAAGAAAATAGATGACTATACCCAGAATACTGGCACAAGGTCAGTTGTGGTTATGATGAAGTTTTGTGGCCTTTGACTGATGGTGATGTTGAGTTCAACCTTTAGCACCTGGTCTTATCAAATAACTTTATTTGGCATAAAACACTTCTGTGGAGCTGCATACACAGGATCTGGCTACAGTGATGGAACCCAGTTGCTTTCTGTAGGCTTCTAAGCTCCTGACTGCTTTTATGAGCCCGCTAGTATTAAACTATGTTCTGCTTTTGTTTTCTGCCTATTAAAAAAAAAACCTGTTCCAGGTATGTTAGACTATAATATGAGAATTTGCACCATTAGTTTTCTCTTGCAATAAGCAATCAATCCATTGCAGCTATCTAAATCTTCATGACCAATGAGAAGGCATGATAATACTTTATATCTGTAACAGGGGGTGCTTCCCAGGGCCAATTTTGCTTTTGGCCCACCTGCCTGTTTCTGGGCAACCTGCCCACATTTTCACCTGCCATGCCTTGATGTTAATTAATTAATAGTGGTTAATTAAGCAGGAGGCTGCCCATTTCTTGCCCCAATGCCAGGGGGCACTATCTGCAGCTCCGTTCCTCCCCTACACTGCAGCCCAAGCCTCGCAGATGGTATTTATAACTCCTCTCTATGTTGGGGTCTCAGCCGCTGTGGGCTTACCTGTTCTCTCTCTAGCTAGACCTGTCAGTCAAAAACCCACTAATCACGGCTTGACTCCCAGGCTGTAGCTCTCAAAGACTCATTGAGGCTCCAGCACCCTCTATGGCGCTGAGGTCTGTTCACTCCCAAGTACAGCACCCCCTCTTGCGCTAGGGTGTGCTCACCCCTGAATGCTGCACCCCCTTTGGCATTGGTGTCCTCCCACTCCTGAATACTGCGCCCTCTCTGGTGCTGGGGTTCCCACACTGAAGTGGTTCCCTAAATGCCTCCTCCTCCCCAAATAGCTTCAGCCCAATCCTCCGGGTATGAACATCCAATGCAAAACAGGCTTCTATGGCCATAGAATGGAAGAAGGATAATAAAGAAATAAGATAGGCAACATGCCTGCTTACTTTAGATGGTCATGCTTCTGGCTCACAAAGGAGCATATTCTTCCAGCAGAGACTGCAGCTGTAGCACCACAGTCATTGGGAGTCCCCCTCTCTGCTGTCCCTCTAGCCTTCTCCACTCACCGTTTGTAGGATCCTGGCCTTCCTCTTCCTGTCACCTGACCAGCTGGCAGGGCTTGAGACTTAACTCCTACTTGACTGGCTGGCTGTGACTGGAAGGTTCTAGATTTAAAGGGACCACCCTGTCTCTTAGTAACAGGGCTAGGGTTCCTTGTTACAATATCAGTAGATAG